TCCGGTCCGGCTCCCGGTGGGGTTCGCGGCCCCGGCGCTGGCGTCTCCTCGCAGGGCCGGGCCGGGTGGGAGGGGCCGGCCCGGACGGTGTCGGGGTCGCCCGGCGGGGGCTCGGGAGAGGGCTCGCGGACCCCCGGGAGCTGCTCCGGTGGAGCAAAAGTTGGCTCCCCCACGTCCTCCTGCCCCGTCTCCCCGCCCGGCCGGAGCAGCTAAGTTGATTGCCCACCTCCTTGGGTCTCGAGTGTTCCGGGGTCGCCCTCAACTCGCCGCCTCCCGCGGGGCTTCGGCGCTGCGAGTGGACTCCGCGAGCCGAGCCGGAGGGGCGGCTGCGCTCCCCACTCGGGCCTGGCCGCCCGCCGGGCCGGCGGTGCCCGCGGAGGGCGGTGTGGGGTTTCACGCGCCTCCTCCCGCCCTGGAAAACGCCCTTGGCCTTTGCCGTTCCTTAGCTAAGCTTTCTAAAAACAACCTGGAGGACTTGAGGGAGCCCTAGTCCGCTTCTCTTCCTTTTGGATAGCAGGGTTTTTTGAGGATTCTGGGTCATGCCGAAGTCAGCTGAAAAAGTTGAGTTTCTTGAGAGTGGACGTACTCTGCAAGGGTCTGTTTCGTTTCTGCCTGTGTACTCTTTTCGTTAGCTCTGGAGATAGAAACGTCAAATAAAAATTGTTTTCTCTTCAATTTTGTCACTTCTTGCTATGTAAAAAGTATTTGTTGATTTCATTTGCTTTTGATTCCAAGTAAAATAGAGGAGAATGGAATATCGTTGCGGCTAACAGTTCTGGTTTGTAAATTATTTAAGAGAAGTTAGCATGCAGTTTTAAAATCCTTGCTTTTTTAGTGTCTCAGGTAACTTATACATTCTCTTTGTAAAAAAATCAGTGAAAACGAAGCAAAAATTCCTGTGCTTCCTCCCATTCCAAATTCACACTCGGGCCCTTAGGAGTAATACTGTTTTCTGCTTTCTGAATATTCTTTCACACCTTTTGCTTTGCATTCTTATAAGCATATATGTACTTAACAGGAATTGCTCTAGGGATGTGTGTGTGAGAACTGGATACATGGTGCCACATTGTAAACGTTGTTTTGCAACTTGCTTTTTCTACACTACATTTTGGAGATCAGTTCTGTCTTTCAATTTATTGCATAGTATTTAACACTGAAGTACCATCGTTGGCTCAACCTTTCTTCTTTACGCAGAAGTTCACGGTTACTAGCAGCACTGCAGTGGACATCCTTGTGCATGCCTTTGTGCATTTATTTTAAGATAAATACCTAGAGTGGTGATTAGGCATTTTAAAATTAAACATCGGTAGAGAGTGCTTTTTCAAAACATTAACATAAAAAGGTGTGCAATATTTCTTTTAGAATTCATTTGCTGAGAAAGAATTTTAACTTAATATTAACATGTGTTTGGCATGAATGAATTTATAATTTGGTCCTTTAAATTAAGTTGGAAAGTTTAAATAAGTACTTATATATAGTTTTATATATTCATGTTCACTTCTGGTTCAATTAGTTCAGCTATATCGATGATTGAGTTAATTCAAATAGGAAAAAAAAAACCCATACACTTACTTTTTCCCTTCCTACTGCAACTCTCAATGCAAGTGTTTTTGTGTTGGGTGTAAGGGAATTGAAGACTCCACTGACTTTAGTAGAAAGCCTGAATTACAGTTTTCCAAATATATGTATATACATACAGGAGCTTCTTTATCTTAAATGGCATTTAAATTATGATAATATATACTTTATATTTAGCATTTTGGAACAGCTTCCTTATTTAAAAGTGATTTCCTAGGTATTTGAAAATCGTTTCTAAAGAAGAGTAATCTCTTGGCCCTTACCCTTAGCATACCTTTACACCATTAGTTTATGGAACTCTTCTATACCACAGTGCTAATTTTGGCTTTGCATTCAGGAAACCACAAAATCCACATTAATAATCCCTGAATTAATGAGGTTAATGACCCCCCCTCGCTTTATTGAGGTATAATTCACAATTAAAAATTGCATATGTTTAAAGTGCAGAACTTGATAATTTGGTATATACAATCAAGCTAATTAACATACCCATCACCTCACATAATCACTATTTTTGTGTAGTGATAAGATTACTTTTTAAAATACAATACTCTTATAAAGCTTTCTTTTTAACAGTTAAAAGCCAAGTCCAAGGATTTTAGGAAGTAAATAGATTCCTTTTTTTAATACTTCAATATTTATACATTATAATTGTTTATCCACAGGATTGCAGATTAAATATTTTTCTAGCATATTTTCATTATTTGTATTTCTCACCGAATTACTGCTAAATAACAGTCAAATTGGAATAGAACAAATGGACAGATTTTGCACATTTACATTTCAAATTATTTCACCATAGAATGTGTGTTTCCAATAGTGGTATTTGAACTTTGTAATTGATTTTCCTTAAATTGATTAATTATCTCTTTTCTTCCTGTCAAAGAGAATTACAGTTTACAAAACATCCTTTTATGTTGTGGGAATAAAGTTGGGTCATTTCCTATAAGTTGTTTACCAGAAAAAGATGTATATGTTTACTTGTAACTCCCAAGCTCAAAAGATTTACCTGACCAATAGAGTGTTTTTTGGACTAGCATGGACTTAGAGGCTAGGCCAGGGGTTGTAATTTTTATGACCATGGTCCAAATTTTAATGTAGGATTTTTTTTTTAAAGGCTTATTGTCCAGAGTCAGACACACCTATAGTTTTACATGTTTCTCACATTACTGTGTACTAGCTGTACACAGTACTAGCTGTGTACTTTTGGAATTTATGAATTGTTATATATTGTTATATATTATTAGTTACATATATTTTATTTCCATATATATATACACACAGTTTATAAAGATAGACATTGCTTATAAAAGAAACTATTATTTAAATACATTTCCTGTTTCAACTATTTCATTTCCTGTATTTCTCTGCTTTTGAACAGCTTTGCCTACAACTTGAATTTATACTTTCTAACCTTTCTAAATTAAAAGATAGTAATTGATAAAAAAAAGTAATTTTAAGGTATTTTCCCAGAGAGTTGTTTGCTATAGTGTGTAAAATGTTAATGTAAGATGTATAAATTATGATTAGGCAGCCAGTGACAGTTTTTTAGTGGAGAGTAAGACCTCATCCTAAGCCTGGCATGATGGCTCAAACCTGTAATCCCAGCACTATGGGAGGCTGAGGTGAGAGGATTGCCTGAGCCCAGGAGTTCAAGACCAGCCTGGGCAACTTGGTGAGACCTTGTCTTAACAACAGATCAGAAAATTAGCTGGGCGTGGTAGTGTGTGCCTGTAGTTCTAGCTACTTGGAAAGCTGAGGCAGAAGGATCGCCTGAGCCCAGCAGGTCAAGGCTGTGGTGGCCGTGAGTATGCCACTGTACTCCAGCCTGTGCAACAGAGTGAACTCCAACTCAAAAAAAAAAGAGAGAGAGAGAGAGAGAGGGAGAGAAACCTCTTCCGTTTGTAAGGGGTTTAGGAAGTCAGTGTTCTTTGACTGTCATTAGAGCCAGTATAAACTGAATGGGTAATTTTGTATTTAGATTACTCTGCGGTGTATCCTGAATTCATCCAGATTCTAGATTACTAGGTTTTTCATAATATGTTGCAAAGTTACAGTATACTAGGGTAGACTCCTCCCCAAAGAGAACCCAGAATTATTTTTTGGAGATAAAAAAGGTCCCTTATAGTACAGGCTTCCCCACTAGGTAAGTGATCTAGGAACCCATCAGCAACAGTGTACCGTCTGGTGCTGTTTGAGGGACTGTGTACAGCTTCAGTGAATTTTTTTTGGAGATACTTTTAACTCATTTGCCCATTTCTTGATGGGTGATTTAGTACCATACCAAGCTGACCAAAAACGGTATGACCTTCGTGATTCCACATCCCTATTCAC